AGATTAAGCGGGGGAGAGTCACAATCTCACCGAGAGAAAGTAGATTGTGACCTCACAAGCAAGACTAACAAAGGGCGACCTTCAAGTGGCATCCATCCGACCACACAAGGGTCAAGATTGAGTGGTATCATGATGCGATCGAGGTGGGTGTATCATCCAACACACCAAGAGTGTGCATTGAAGCTAAGTCGAGATATACACAAATTTAGATCCTCCTACTGCATCAAATAGGAAATCACAAACGTAGTGAAAAAAAAACCAAACACAATTTTGTTCAAATTAAAATCAAATTAAGTGACCGACTTCAAAACTATTTTAGCTCTAAGAATTAGATCGTGGCAAGTGTTGGATAAAAGTCTCGCATCAGCTAATTTAGAGAAGAATCATGAGTTTATAATCAAAGAATACTATCTACATTAGTACGAGATCTTTTGAAAAACTCCAAAGCAAAACCACAATATCATACCTCTACCAACAAGAAATTGAGAATATTTCCTAGAAAATGGGAACACAAATTAAAAAAACACAAACATCAACCTTAAAAACCAAACATTACAACCTTAAAAAAACATTTATTGGGACTAAAACATTCCACTATTAGAACTCACACTTAGATGAAATAAATGAATTAAAATTGTGAGATAAATAGGAGTTTATTTGGATCTAATCAAATATAATTTATGGGAAGAAAAAAAAAAGAGAAAAAAAAAAAGAAAGAAAAAGCTGATAAAAGGTGAATGGGACAGAGAGACCCCTTTCTCATGGCTCTCTGTGTTTATTTTCTTCTCTTCCACTCTCTCTTCACTTGGAAACAAAAAACTTAGTGTACTTCAAAATTTGGCAGTGTTTTTTTGTACAGACACATCCAAGGCTTTTTCTTCCACACCTTATTAGGGTTTGTGGGGGACGAGGCTTGATGTTACCACCAAAATTTCTAACTTCGACACGTGTCAATGCTTTGTGGGTAAAACGATGAGAAGAATGTGTCACGTTTCGTAATTTGATATGACGCTAAAAGATATTCATTTTGATGATCTACGTTCGATAGGGTATAGTATGGTTCGATTTGAAGGTTAGGTTACTTTAATTTTTTCTCATTTTAAGCATTGCTAACTTAGAACGAGGTAGGGCTGTTCACCGCTAATTGAATGTATGTTCTTCATCATAGGCTAGATGATCAAAGTTTTGATTTTTGACCACATTCTAGATGGTAAATGTTTTGAGACCGGGTCACAAGTTATAGGGTTATAGGATGGAGGTTTACGAGTGTGTTATGGACTCTATACCCTCGTATATATTGTTGCCTCCAACATTAAGATTTTTCAATAGTTGTGAATCATATTTGTTTTAGAGAAGCATTATGAAAACAAAGTTGGAGTTGGTTTTTTATGATATATGTTTTGGAGTTGTTTTGCTTTGATTTTGTGTTTCGAAACGTTTTAAAGGAATTCAGAGTAAATTTTGTTAAATCTTGTTTGATCTTGGTTAACAGACGTATAGGTTGAATTGGTCGATTGATTTCCGATAATTGACTTTGTGGGCATGTATATTTAACTTTGGTATGTGTGTTATGTGGGTTTCTTATAAAACGACTCCTTAAGTTAATAGAATGTTTCGTTTCCCTTAGGGACCTAGTATATTCGTTGTCACATTGTTCGATATCTTACTCTAATATTATTTGTAACAATTCAAGCCCACCACTAGTAGATATTGTCCCCTTTAGCTTATTACGTATCGTCGTCAGCCTCATGATTTTAAAACATGTCTAATAGAGAGATCTCACAAACATGTTTTCGTTAATCTTCTTATCTTCCTCTATTTATCTCGAGAAGTAATTATGTAAACGTTTTTCTTTTATTTTAACATAATGGTAGGAGACAAATAATTTAATATAATTAATTTTGAGTTGAATTTTAAATTGAGTTAAATAAAAATAAAAGACATTGATATAATTTTTAATTTGTTGGAAGATAAACATTACTTGAAATTAATAAACGATAAGGATATGGCCTCTAAAGTCTAAAGGAGAATATTGATGAACAAAAAGCTATTTAAAAAAACAAATAAATAATTTCTTTTTCTATAATGATTTACTCTTTGAATAAGTGTTAAAAAAAAAAGTTAAATCGAATTCGTTCTTAAAATTAAAGTTTAGATTATAAAGTAATATTCTCATCAAATATGAACAAGCAAGCTGTGATATTCGAATAAATGAGAGATACATGAATGAACTAGAAAACACATTTAAATGAGAGCGTTCGTAAGAATGGATGACCGAAATAGGCTTATAAAAGTTGAAAGTTACTACCTATACTAACAACAATGTGCACTTTCCGTCTTTGTGGCTCAATTAATAGAAACACCAATGTTAAACGTGTTCTTGAAACAATTCTATGTGAATGATCTGTTGAATTTTTTTTTAAATGTGGGGATAGATTTTACGCTCGGAAGCTAGACGTTATTAAATAATAACATAATTTAATAGTGGTGGTTAAGAAGACCAGAAATAAAAATAATGCATTCGAGGTCTAATCGATAATAATTTTAAGGAGGAAAAGAAAAAGCTGATAAAAGGTGAGTGGAAACAAAGAGTGCAAATGACCCTAAACCCTCTATCTATTTATGTACCTATGTTTTATCTTCTTTTCTTCTACCTTTTTCTGCCCTATTCAACTCTTAAAAATGCATGTGCCTGTCATTTTTGCAGACACTTCAAAGGTCTATTGAGCCTTTTGTTCGTGTCGTAAGTGTTTCGAGTTTTCATCTAACGTTTTATATCCAAAATTTGGCTCAAAATTCGAAATATGAATTCCGTACATAATGACCGACCACTACATACTCCTTGGTTCTTAAGAGTGAAGGCTTTCCTCATAGATCAACACGAGACCTTCCAACATGTTTTGTGCTCACTCATATGTATTATAGGAATATTCCTGGGAGGACATCCAACATAGAATTGCTCCAAGTAAAACACGCTTAACTATGAAGTTCTTATGATTGTGTTATAGAAAAGAAATGTGCATCTTGTTGGTATAAATAGTAACTTTCATTTTCTTTAAGCATTTCTTAGTTATCATATTCTCATGATCGCTCTCATTCGAATGTAGCCTTGGTTCATTTAAGTATCCCTCCATTACTCGAATGTCAGATTTCAGCACAAAATTTTTGCATCGATTCCCACAAAAATAGATGAAAAATTTGTAGAAATGAAGAATAAAAGAGGAGACAGGGCCCTGTTTCCGCCCCACGCCGTGGACGTCTCTAAACAAATAAATCCAAACAAAAACTTTTTATAACCTCGACCATATCAAAAATTAATGGAGGTTATTAATATCATATTAGTTCAAACTTCTGTCTCTTCGTTTTATTGATAATTATGTATGCTCGTTGGAAGTATAAAGTAAAACCCGAGTAATTGGCATTTTTTTTTTTTTCATTTTGTGAATTAACATTTGTAGTATATATGATTGGACAAATTTTGGTGTGACTAGAGTAGGGTTTAATTTTGTGTCACATCCAAATTTTGATGTATATCGCTAGTTAGATACTATTGTACCTTCCAAACCCAAAGCCAAACAAGATCTTGTATTTGAATGCTTTAAGTCATGTCCAGGTACCCACCACACCACCTTCTAACTCTTATTTATTTATTACCATTATTCGACTATCGATATGAACATCATTTCATCACCACGCCTACCTTTTACTATATCAAAATAATCATTCATTTTCGTTTGTGACGTATCAATCTACAAGTGTTAAAACGTGTCTACTAGGAAGATGTTTCTACACCCTCATAAGAAATGATTCGTTCATCTCACCAACGGATGTGGGACCTCACAATTCACCTCCCTTAGAGTCCAACATCTTTGCTGGCACACCGTCTGATGTGTCTAACTTTGAAACCATTTATAATAGTTCAAGCCCACCTCACAATTCACCTCCCTTAGGGTCCAATATCCTTGTTGGCATCCCGACTATTGTCTGGTTTTGAAACCATTTATAACAATTCAAGTCAGAAGTTGTTAATTTTTTTTTTCTCTCTTAAGAATATTATATTTCATAATAATACTATTTTAATAATTAAATTTTTGTATTTTTTTTTTTTTGGGTTATCCTTCTATAAGGCCCAAATGTGAGGCCCATTTTATAAGTAATCAATAAATAAATAAATTCAAAAAAAATCTAAATGATAAATTTAGATGCATGTCATTGAAACTCATCGCTAGCAAATATTATTTATTTTGGTCCGTTTCGTATCATCATTGACCTCACAATTTTAAAACACATTTAATAAGAACATGTTTCTACAGCCACACGTAAAGAATGTTTTTGTTCTCCCTCTCCAACCGACGTGAAATCTCATACAATTAAAATTAAAATCGATAAATCTCATCCATCTATTCAATAAAAAAAAAAACATTCTAATTTTTTTCTCAGGCCAATTCTATTTTCAAGACAAATTATTGGTAAAATGATCATTTTAACCGTCTAAGTTCATCGCTAACAAATACTATATGTTTTGGTCTATTATGTATGACGGTCAGCCTCATGATTTTAAAATGTGTTTGCTAGGGAGAGGTTTCCAAACTCTTGCAATTATTGTTTCATTTTCCTCTCTAACTTACGTGAGATCTAATAATTATTATATACTAAAATTGAAAGATTATATTATTATAAATATATAACAAAAAAAAAAATCTTTTTGGTATTTAATAATTTATAAATAATGAGACACATAATGTCACAACAAGCAGAGAAAAAACACCGGAAAAGTTCATCACATCAGACAACAAAACACCCATATCTGACACAACAACACTCTTCCCCTAATTTTCTAATAACCCCCTCGAGCCCTCCAATAATTTCAAAAAAACCCCATGAATAAAATATAATTACCACAAGCCCCCAATTCCAATGCCCCTCAAACCTTTCAAAATTAAATTAGTTCCCCTTTCTTGTTTACCCAACAAAGCTGCACATGTATGTATGTTCTTCTCTGCAACTCAATCATGGAAGGCTTTTCAAGTGGCCCCAACCACACACATGGGTCATTGAGGAGGGTGTGTGTGCGCTAAACGACGACGTTAAGAACTTGGCCCTTTTGATCTACATTCGGAAGCTTGGCGTTGGTGGCAGTGGCGATGGCGATGGCGGTGGGAGGCGGTGACGATGGCGGTGCATTGTCATTGTTCTTGATGTTTTGTTGGTGATAAACTTGTCTTAGTCTCTCTATCTCTCTTTTGAGAGCCTCCTGATGAGCTGCATGCATGCAAAAGATTGAAACTAAGGGTGAAAAATTAAAAGATTCAAACTTTGGCTGGAATTTTATTATAATCATGCATGCAAGAGGAGTGGTAGAATTGGCTGGCAGACAAGGAATTTTATATCCTCTTTCCTTATAGTGCCCGCCACGTTCTTCTTTCCTGTCTACCCTCGAGTCAATGGACAATTATTATGTCCCATTCTGTGGGTCTAACTTAAGGTCTGTAAGTAAATGAGAACCTCCTATGAAATTCCAAGAACGAACGAGATTGACGGTTTTTAAAACGCGCTTGCTACAGAGAGGTTTCATACCCTTACGATGAATGCTTTGTTCGTTTCTCCAAATGATGTGAGATCTTACCATTCATTATCTATAAGGGTGTAGAAATCTCTTTCTAATATAACGTTTTAAAATCTTAAGGAAAAATCCAAAGTGAATAATATCTATTAGTTGTAGGCTGTTATAGTTCACTCTAGCTAGATCCGACTAATTTGAATTTAGTTTAACTACTTAACTATATATATCTACTAACTAAAAAAGCTTTTAGATATAATGTATTTGATGTCGTTAAAAATATCTTGAGCCAATAAAAATATCCTTTATAGATAAATAAGATAAGGGTTGTATTTAGAGGTATCAATTTATCCATCTGGTACCCATCCCAAATGAAGAGAAGAATTTTTGTTTTAACGGGAAATGAGAGAGAGTGGAGAGAGTTTCCTCTTTGTTAACTAAAGGAAGGCTCGATGCTATCCAAATTCCAATCTCGTCTAAGATACTTTACATAAACATATCACAAACTTAAATTGTACTAAAATCTGATTTTTTTTTCTTCAAATATTATTTGATTTATCAAAATATTTTACTATATTTAAAAATAAAGATTATACTTAGATTTTTTTTTTTTTAATATGAGAATCTAACCCTCCCAAATTTTAATCAAAATAAATGGAAATCTAAGCTCCGAGGAGGATTGAAATAGGAGGCGAGAACATGAATAGAAAAAGTTTATTCATCTCTTCCAGCAGACATCTCTCCATAGACCCTTTAAATTAATTTATTAATTAACCCGAAAAAAGAGTTTAAAGTTTGATGATAAAAAGATATGAGAATGTATATATGTGTATGATGAAGGTGGATTATTGTTTGATTGTGAGATAATTAAGGGCGGCGATTTGCATACCATCTTTAAAAATCTTATCTTGTGCAAGGGCGGCGATTCTTTGCTTCAAGGCGCTGTTATCGACGTTGAGAAGCAATCTCTGTTGATCCAAAAACGCCACTCGCGGCGACAGCACCGATACTTCCGCCTTCACAATTCCATATTTGGTTAATAATCCGCCCCCATTGTTAGTAATTTTTAACCATAACAAAGCTTTTGCAACGTACCTGCAACGACGTGACGCTTCGTTCAAGTTCCGATATGTATTGAAGCTTCCTCACTCGTGATCTTTGCGCCGATTGCCGATTTGCAAGAATTCTAAGCCCATAAACGAAGAAAAAATCATAAACCCATTTCAAAAATTTCAATTTTGTTGAAACCCAGATGAAATTTTGAAGACCCAGATGAAAAATTTTCACCTTTTTACTCTTTTTGGATCTGTTATCCGATCGGCGGAGGCTGCCGGCGCCGGCGAGTTGGATTGCGTTTGAATTTTGGATTGCTGTTGACTCTGTACTTCGTCGGATTCGTTTTTGTTCCGGCTTTGTTGGCCGTCTTTCTCGTCGTTAATGCTGTTGTGATCGGACTGCGTGGAGGTGTTCGACGACGACAAAGTCGGCGCAACAGCGGCGGAGATTTCGTCATTAAACATCGACAGGAATTGGTCGTCGTCAAATCTATCAAATTCGTTGCCAGATCCCGTCGTCGGAGCCGCGTCGGAGCCTTGACAATCATCCTCCGGCATTGGCATTTCGAGGAATGTGATCGAATCGCTAACGGAGCGCCGGTGAGAGCCACGTCTGGAGGAAGAGAAATCAAGAAATTCGTCAACCCATGAAGGATTTTGGTGGGTGACCGGAAGTGTGGTGGTGGGGGGAAAGGTTTCCGGCCAATTATTCGGCGGCATGTTTGGGATCTTCGGCGGCAACTGTGCCATAGCATAGCCGGAGTAATTGAAAGAAGAGGAAGAAAATGAAGAGCGGAGGAGGAGGGAGGATGAAAGGGTTTAAAAATGTTAATTTTGTGGTGAGGAAATCCGATGTGGTAATAGCAGTGGGGGTAACATGGGGGAGGAGACTGGACAGCTATGTCCAGCGGGGGACATGGAAAGGGAAGGGAAGGGCGAGACGAAGAGAAAGGGAATAGGGAAGTTGGGGTTCAACGGTATAACTAGAAAGTCGTCGCCCTCTGGTTTTTATATATTTTGAACTCAATTAGCCACCACGTGATGCTATGGTGACCCTCCATTTTGATTTTAGAGGGCATCTTTTGTACCCATAGCCCAAGTCCACCGCTAGTCGATATTGTCCGACTTTTCCTTAATCGATGTGGGACCCCCAACCCACCCCTCTTTGAGACTCAGCCTCCTCGCTGGCACATCGTCCCGTGTCTGGATCTAATACCATTTATAACGGTCCAAGCACACCTCTAGCCGATATTGTTCTTTTGACCTTCGTTTTTAAAATGCGTATGATAGGGAGAGGTTTACACACGTTTATAAAATATGTTTCGTTATCTTCTCAATTGATGTGGGATCTCAAGAATACAAATATAAAAGCCCTTCAATTATTGTTAATTAACTAATTACTACTCTAACGATATTGAGGATTGTTGGGAGGGATATCACGAGTTTATAAGTAAGAAATACATCTTCATTGCTATAGAGTCTTTTTGAGAAACTAAAAGCAAAATCATGGAAACTTATGCTCGACGTTCGTGATTACTAACCGACCCGATTCAAAGGTATTTTTAATTTTTTTTAAGTCAACAGACATTATTGAAACTTTTGAAAGTTTAACGATATTTACGAGATAAAAAATATAAAATTTATGAGTATTTTTATTAATTCAACTCTCAGACTCTCTCCAACCGTGTTACTTTATCACTATCAGATTTGAACGAGAGAAGAATATATAGTGAGGCTTAGAGCTTTAACTAGTGTTTGTGTTCTTCGAGAATAGATGTCTTAGTATGTTTCAAACTCTCTCCGTAATTTTTCGTTCAAAACCGTCAGATCTGAACTAGAAAAGAATATATTGAGGCTCATAGATTTAATTAGTCTCCGTGTTCGAATAGATCTGTTAATCTTACTTTAGTCGTGGGGAGATGTTGATAAAAGCAAAGCCATGTGGGAGCAGGGTTTTTGGAGGAGATGAGGGGGTGTTTAGTCGAAGAAGATGGTGGGATTTGTGAATAAGAGAAAGGGTTTAAAAGGGGGATAATGTAGCACAACCCCATGTGAATTGCTTGCACGCTTTTAACTTTCTTATGCTTTGTCCCCAGACCACTCCCACATGTAGGGTATATGCCCTAATTCTAACTCTTTCAGATGCTCTCATTATCATCCAAGTGCCTGCCAGCCCACTCCAACCATTCTCTCCCTCTCTCTCCTACATTTGTGTTACATTACATGGCATCTTTGGTTGGGAAAGTTGAGTTTGAGGTTGGAGATGAAAGCCCCCGGTTGTAATAGCTCGAGCCCACGGTAAGCAGATATTGTCTGTTTTGACCTGTTACGTATTGTTGTTAGCCTCACGGTTTTAAAACGTGTCTGTTATGAGAGGTTTCCACATTCTTGTAAGGAAGGTTTACTTCCCCTCTCCAATCGACGTGAGATTTCATAATCCACCCTCCTTGGGGGCCCGCGTCCTCTCTAACACACTGTCCGGTGGTTGACTCTAATACCATTTGTAACAGCCCAAGCCCACCGCTAATAGATATTATTCACTTTAGTCCGTTACATATCAACGTCAGTTTCACGATTTTAAACTGCGTCTCTCAAGGAGAAGTTTCGACATTCTTATAAGAAATGTTTCGTTCCTCTCTCTAATCGATATGAGATTTTACAATCCACCCCTTGAGTGCCTAGTGTCCTTACTAGCATAGCGTCAGGTGTCTAGCATTGATACCATTTGTAATAGCATAAGCCCTCTGCTAGCAGATGTTGTCTACTTTTACCCATTACGTATTGTCGTCAGCCTCATGGTTTTAAAATACATTTGTTAGGGAGAGGTTTCTACATCCTTATAAGGAATGTTTCGTTTACATCTCTAACCGATGTGGATCTCATAATCCACCCTACTTGGGGGCTCAGTGTCCTCGCTAACACATTGTCCGATGTCTAGCGTTGATACCATTGTAATAACCCAAGCCCACTGCTAACAAATATTGTCTGCTTTGGCACGTTACGTATCGCCGTCAGCCTCATGGTTTTAAAATGCATATGTTAGGGAGAGGTTTCTACATTATTATAAGAAAATGTTTCATTCATCTCTTCAACTGATGTGAGATCTGCACACTCCACTCCCTTCGAGGGCTATCGTCCTTGCTAGCATACCGCTTGGTGTCTGGCTCTGATACCATTTGTAACAGTCCAAACCCACCACTAATAGATATTGTCCGCTTTGGCCCGTTATATATCACCGTAAGCCTCACGATTTTACAACGCGCATGTTAGAGAAAAATTTCTACATTCTTGTAAGGAATGTTTCGTTTCCCTCTTCCACCAACGAAGGATTTTACGGTGACCCTTTAGAGGTACCCAAGTTTTACACTTAGAGCAATGGTCGGTTACCAAATGAAGTTTGGAAAGTAGGGTGAGGGTAGCCGAAGGAGAGCCTTATCCTGCATGTCAAGCTGAGCCTTGTGAGTACCTGAAGTAAACATCAGCAAACCTACCGATAAGAGAAGTCACGAGAAATGAATATTGAACCTACAATATGAGAATACAATGGGAGATTGTAACGATCCAGATTCACCGCTAGCATATATTGTTCTCTTTGGGCTTTTCTTTTCGGGTTTCCCCTCAAGGCTTTAAAACGCGTCTGCTAGGGTGTTTTGTTCTCCTCCCCAACCAATATGGGACATCAAGACATACTCTCTTTTAGCCAAGCAAAACAAAGACGGCTATGCTTGCTTCAATGGTGTGCCTTTAAGGTGCTTGTCTAGGAGAGACTTGCCGTTTTAAAATTGTGAGGCTAACGATAATACGTAATGAGCTAAAGCGGACAATATCTTCTAGCGTTAGTTTAAAATGCTACAAATGGTATCAGAGTCAACACGGAGCGGTGTGATAGAAAGGACACTAGACCCTAAATCGGGATGGATTATGAGATCCCACGTCGATTGGAAAAGAAACGAATAATCCTTATAAGAGCATGAAAACCTTCCCCTGATAACGCCAGCTCAAGCAGGACCATATATCTCCACACAATTTATTACTAAGGAAGACTTTTATAAAAAAACCCGAAAGAATGCCGGAACAATCCAACCAGGGAGGAAGGTACGAGAGGGATGAGTTATATATATATTTTTTTCTTTGACCTTTTTTTACATTCGTGTATGTTCGAGTGAACTTAATATACCTCGACTAGGTTATTCAACTACTGGGTCTTACTCATCTCGTGGTAAAAAAATACGTAAAATAATAAATTCTAAGTACACAATACAAAGAATTGATCTCATTCCCTCAAGGTGTTTATCACTTCAATTCCAATTTAATTAAAATTAAGCTACAATAAATAATATTGCAATTAAAGAGGTCAAAGTCAATTTTTTTTTAAGTATATATTCATTTCTTTTAGAAATATGATATTAGAGAAGTTTTGGGCGTCCGGGAAGAAGAAAGAAACATAATTGTTAAACCCTATCAAGCAAAGCAACTCCCTTGGTTGATACTTCACATTCGCCGGAAGCTAAAACCTCTTAAACCACTGCCATTTCCGGCGGAAATGGCGGGTCCGTTGCTCCGTTGTCTCTGGTTATCTTCTCGTAGATCTATTTCTTCCTCTTCTTATCATCACAAGTCTCATCTTATCTCAAAATCATCCGTCTTCCCGAATCTCTTAGCGCGCGCTTTTTCAGCAGCCACTGCTACTTCTACTGCTGGCGTCGCACCAAGTAGCGACCTTGATCCGAGCCGACTTAGGAACGTCGCAGTGATTGCTCATGTCGATCATGGAAAAACTACACTCATGGACCGTTTACTCCGGCAGTGCGGTGCTGATATTCCGCACGAGCGAGCTATGGATTCGATTAGTCTTGAGCGCGAGCGAGGCATTACTATAGCGTCGAAGGTAATTTCTGATAATTTTTTGTATATTTGTTGGTTTGGTTTGGTTTTAGGAGGGTGATTCATTGGAGATTGATATTGATACAAATATGAAGAACCTCGGAGAGATTGAATGAGATTATCTTATAGCTATATGTATACGACTTTAATTTTCATTTGATAAATACATACCTATGAATTGGCTGTTATGCATACTTTTGTCTTTGGAAGGTTACCTCTGTTTCATGGAAGGACAATGAGTTGAACATGGTGGATACGCCTGGTCACGCAGATTTTGGTGGAGAAGTATGTTTCCATTTCACTAACGACTTGAAATTCGATTTGTTCGTTTAATCGAAGTTATATTTAGGGTGTGAAATGTTCATTTTAATTGGTCTCTTATAATGATCATTTATGTGCGTACGTTCTGTTTTTGGAATCGACAAGAAAGAAAGTTGAAGAACTCTGTTATAAATGTGAGGAGCGTAGTTTAATTAGTTCAGTTAGCTCCATGATGCACACTGAATTTTACAAACATTCCTGCTCAACTTGTCACGAAAATTGTTTTATCATCAAATTAGGAAGTTTTAGATTTTATTTTCCATTTGTTCTTTTGAGCCTCGATTACCAGAGAAATTAAAACACAATCCTTCTCTCACTGTCTATGAAATGCTTCAAATGCAATAAGTTTTTCTACTATTATACACAACTGGATCTATTTGGATGTAGGTTGAACGTGTTGTTGGAATGGTTGAAGGCGCAATTTTAGTTGTTGATGCTGGTGAAGGTCCATTGGCACAGACAAAGTTTGTTCTTGCCAAGGCCTTAAAGTATGGCCTCCGACCCCTACTTCTTTTGAATAAAGTAGACCGACCATCAGGTATTTGGAAAAGAAGTCTTTTACTTTTTTAGTTAAACATATGTTTGAGAAGCAATTCCCTGCTTTCTTCCCCATCTGAAATGTCACCACGATTGAACACGTGCCCTATGTATTTGCATGAGAAAATGCGTCTAGAGAGGCTTTGGATACACTGAATCAATGATTGAGATGCACCTTTACTAGAACAATAATAGGTTAAACAAATTGTGTTTCCTTTTTCCTTTTTGAGTACAACATCATGTGGGG